TGGCTCCAGCAAACATCAGCTGATACTAGAAATTAATATTAAATAAATTCTAACAACAGCTGATCAAGCTTAAACGTGCTGCTGTTGTGTAGCGCGACCTCCGCTGGGTTCCTCCTCCTCGGCTGTAATTGGTCCAGCCCAGAGTCGATCATGACCAACTGGCCAATCCACCACCATTCATTTATACCGTTAAAAAAAAGAAAAGAAATAAAACCCCATCGGCCCATATTAACAAAAAATCACGAGCATCCTCGTGATCTGCCCGATGGCCAGTCCAGCCCTGATCACCACCTCATTGTGGTGGAGGGTTTTGCATGTTCTAGTGAGTCAGCCCTGGTAGGGTCTCCCAAAGCAAAATGGTCCTGGGTGAAGGGCCAGGCAAAGAGTGAAAACACCTGTGATATCCAAAAGATCAAGGAACCATGCCTTGAACATTCAATATTTAGTATTTACTGTTACTTACACTTATCTAGGTTATTGCAATGGTGCTGTGTTTATCGTGTTTCCTCGTTTTGCTTGTTTTCTCTTTTTTGGGGCATCTTTCTCGGCCTTCAGACAATAATTTTGATGGCTAAAGAACCAAACGGGAAAGGCAAAAAAAAAAGAAAAAGAAAAAGAAAAAAAAGAATGGACATTCCAGACAGGTTTCTGAAAATTACAGCCATGTAGGATGCAGTTCAGAGCTTCCCAAAGAGACGACCTTGAAGGTGAACAAGAGCTAAACTTAGGGTTTATCAGGATTCATTGTTAGTTTCCATGGCTCCATAATGGGAGAAAAAAATCATTCAGACCAGATGAGATAACCCGGATTACCTGAATAATTAGAAGACGAGTAAAGGAAATGGATAAAATACAAGCTCTTTTGCCTCAAACTAGAAAGTAATGTAATGTAAAGTGTCAATAGTCAGTTGCTAACAACAGTACGTCTTAATGCCAGACCACAGTTGTTTTCATTATTGCCTTTAAAAGTAAAAGATTGAATGGTCGTTTATAAAAACATCTCCTGTAATCCTTTTTGATATTTCAACAGTCTGTTGTATCAAATTGGGAACTCCATAACTATCGCTGAACCAATGCACTACTTTCTCTGCCTCAGACGTGTCTGAAGGGAACTGTCACATGCCTCATTAGTGGGAGAAAAAACCGACCTTCATCATCAGCACGACGGTGTTGAGGGCGATCAAAGTCATGATGGCATACTCAAAAGGAGACGACACCACAAATTTCCACATTTTGTACTGGAAGGACTGCTTGTTCTCTGGCATGTATCTCGTCAGCGGCTTGGCATTGATGGCAAAGTCAATACAAGCCCTCTGAGAGTTGAAAAGACAAAACAAAACAGATCGGGTAAGAAAACTCTCTGATGCAACAACTTTATATCTTTCATCAGAGAGAAGAATTCAAAGTTTTTAAAATAAACAACAGCTGGCATACCACTACGGGCTTTTCTAAGTGTTTTGTAATGTTGAAAGAAGATACCACAAATTAAAGTTCTCTGATCACTAGCCAATACATCATAGAAAAAAAACAGCAGGGTTTTCACAAAGTCCCTGTGAAGAAGAGATGAAGGGAGTGAGAAGATAAGCCCTGCTGCTTTCTTTTTAAGAGCGGGGAATTGTCATGTTTAATGTGATTTGCATAGAAGAGACATTTAGAAGAGGATCGTCATGAGTGCTAGTGTCTCTGAAGAAATTACCAGTGTCTTTGTAATTTGTGTTTTCTTCTTCTTCCCAGAACACCCCCCACAAAGAAAAAAAAAAAAAAAACACAATAAAGTGCTTCACTTTCCACTCTCACCTCATTCTTTTCCAATGTACATTCCGACATGGCCTTGTCTCCCTGCTCCTGAAAAGTTATGATGATCAAAGCTACGAATATGTTGACAAAGAAGAAAGGAAACACCACAAAGTAGACCACATAAAAGATAGATGTCTCCATGCGAAAGCCTGGACTGGGGCCCTGGTCCTCATATGTGGCATCCACAGAGTGCTTCAGAACACTAAAAAGAAGGAAAAACTAAAATCATTTTCAAAACTGATGTAGATTTATTCCCAAGTTTTATTAAACAACGCATTTTGAGCAGGTTTTGGTTGCTTGCAGGCCAATGGATCAGAAGAAAAATAACAGAAGAGATTTTCACATTTAAAGATGAAACAGAACCATCTTGAAAAGGATAATATTCTGATTACACCCAGAAACCTTGAAAAATTGACCAATACCAGCAGAGGCTAAACGCACATCCACATCAACTGAATCAACTGGATGTGGTAACCATAGCAATTGGATATAGTACCCATAGAAAGTCAATGACATTCAGCGACTTTGAGCAACAAAACCTTCCTTCACTTTGAGGCAAGCGATTGAAGTGACTACCAATGAGAAAAATGGTAAATACATTGGAGGTTTACCTAGGCAACTGGAGCTTAGAATATCTGTTATCGGCCGAACATCAGCGCTTCCTATGTCCAACCCTTAAATGTGTGACCCTTTAGTCAGCAGATGAGGTTCCTTCCACGTCTTCTGTTTAATTTATTAATAATATTTCTTTTCTTTTTCTTTTATACATTATCATTTTAGGTTAAGGCTTTTAGGTTAAGAACAAAACGTTATAAGGCTGTGTCTCTATCA